GTTCGAATCCTGCCGTTGTCGACTCTTTTTTCTTTATGCTCGCGAATACCGGATCTCGTAAAACGCTTTTCTGTCGACAGCCTTTTTTTCTTGCCATTTCGCGCGTCGCCCTCATCATCCCTGTGTCTATACGCGCACCGACGCGTTGACCAATTCATCCAACAGCACCACCCTTCCCAAAACGATGCGTTGTAGTCTACGACCTTTCGGGCAATCTGTTTCGAGACAGCACTGTAAAGTCATGTTCAATGTATTGGCATTATTCTCTACATTATGCATGGGCTATTGTGATTGATCTTTGGTCTCTCCATCATCCAACTTCTCGTCTGCGCTCTTGGGAGGGTTATCCATGAATTTCCACACCTCATTCGGTCTCCACCGACCTTTGTCGTACAACCAAAGACTCAAGCCTTCCACAGTCCCGGCATGGTTCGCATGTCCCTCATTCAAATACTCCAGACACTTCCTTATCTCCTCGTGATCATCCTGCTTGTTCATAATAGTATAGTGTGCATTCCACTTCTTTCCGCTATCCTGTTTACTCAGAAACGGTTGCCATTTCTCCCTGAGCTCACTTCGTATCCTACCGGGCTTGTACTGACCACCTCCCGATGTTGAGACGTTGATCCCGACGCCTTTGCCCATCTCGAAGACACCTTTTGTATCAACCACGATGGGGAATTTCTTTGTCCCGGCCGCGACCGCACTGATATCTTGCTTCATATCAGCCAATTTTGAACCTGGGAGAGCATGGAATAGCGTAACGTGAGCGTCGACTTTGAGAAGATGCTGTGGAAACCACTGTCTTCGCAGGGCGGTCATGTACCCATGATGTTTCTTGTCCGTGAAGAGCGTGAGGACGTACAGCGGCTCATTTTCGTTTGATGATTTTGGAATATGAGCTTCGCGACGCTGGTATTGAAGATCGCTTGACTGATGAAGTTGTGCGTTTTGTGTCTGCGATAATGGACCTCGCTGGGCGATGGGATGCGTTGAAGAGACTGTTGTCACTGTCATCGTGGTTGGTCTCAGGGATTTGAGCGCGTGAAGAGCTTGAAGGGATTTCATTTTCTGTGTGTCTTTTATAAGAAAACTCCTATAGAAGACCAAGGCATGCGATTTGCTAAAGTGGTTGACGTCAACGACCCGATGTCAAATCTCTAGCGCCCAATTCGATCGCGCTTGGAAAGGTAGAGCATTTCTGGAATATGGCACTGCTATTTTGTGATGTAAAGTCACGTGTTGTCCTTTGCATGAAACTTATGACTGCTGCCCAGGAGTAAAAGACTCTTTGGCCAGGATACCTTATTCTTCCACACCCAATACTTTCATTGCTGCTACGTCTTGTCGATGCGAGACATTATGGTGAAAACAGATCAGACTACCTGGACGACTGGTCTGAGTTCGATTAGGTATTATGGTAATGAGACTTTTGTATAGACCATGATCATCGCTATTGTGTTCATTACTCGTCATATTACATCCACCTCCAACTCGAGTATCCAGACTTATCGAGATTCCGACATCATGCTCGCTGTGATTAAGTAATATCCTTCAAGGGCATCCATAAAAGAAATCTTTGAGCTCTGCATAACCGAAGGTCCTTGCTCGCTGGGTTGTAAGCAATCGGCCAGAACAGTCGCATTCCCAATGCCCATCTCATTTCCAATCCACCTCAGTGTGTCACCCAGATACTGCCTCGTCTCTGCATCCACAATCGTACATCTGCCGATACTGTACATATGATGAAATAGCATGAGTGCTCCGCTTAAATGATTCGGGTGAATAGTACACTTTCCAGCGTTGACTTGTTGGACGTACTCTTCAACGTTGCGAGAAAGGAAGTAGGGGATGGAAGCTTTGACACCGATGATCAGGTTGTTCATTTTGGTCACGAATTGCGGAGTGAGATCGAATCGTCCGAGAGCATTGGAGACGTGATATAGTTGGTCGAGCCAGACTATGTAGAGTGAGCGCCATGAGTTCCAGGCTGTTGCAACGTACACTATGGATATGTCAGCATTGCGTTCCAAAGGGGAGACATGCGTCTTAGCTTACTGTCAAAGTACTTTTCTACAGGCCCAGGGCATACCCATGGCGTATCAAAGTTCTTTGGTGCATCCTGCAGAACGTAGCCAGCAAGCTCTGGACCCCATGATAGAGGCTGGTCGTCGCCCCAATGCGCGACCTCGTCAGTGAATTCTATCAAATCACGATAAAGATCCGAAAGAGCTTCCCTTGACGGAGAAGCTTCAGCCAAGAGCTGCTCAGAGCGTGAGGTGAGAGGGGCTAACTTGACCATTATCTGATCTAGAGAGCGTTGAGGGTTATCATCGAGTGGAGAGCCTAAGATTCCAGCCCCTCGAGTAAGAGTCTGAGGGAGATATGTTAGTTACTTGTATGCTGAACAAAGTGCCGCGATTTACCATGGCGCCCTTAGTTACAAGCCATGTTCCTGGAAGATGGATGCCAATTTTGGATGTTGATGGTGGTGATGAGATTCCTCTTTGAAGAATGGAACCAAGTCCTTGGACGTGAACGCGGTGTCGAGTAGGCGAAGCACTATTGCATGCCATAAGCTGGAAAGAGTCAACAAAACGTTTGCCATCAGTCTCTTGCAGTCTGACCTCGTAGATTCCCAGAAGAACAGCAGTGAAGAATTGCTCTACCGATGAGCTTTCCGATGGTATTGATAGAGACGTCACATATTCCTTCAAAAGCTGACCGTATTGCTTACGGACTATGCTGAAGAGTGAGTCTCTGCGATAGCGATTGGCTAGTGATGCAAGAACGGCTACCTTGGCAGCAGACATAAGCATAGAGTCGGGAGCGGATGTAGCAAAGGTATCATGCATGCCATCAAGGAAGCCGCGTGACTGGCTCCGATCAAGCGTACGGACTACCAGCTCATCTAGGAAGATATGGACGGCCGTTGACTCAAGCATATGGTCCGTATTTGGAGTCCATCTTTGCAATGCTGGCGTATCCGTGGGTGTATTTGCTGCAGAATAATGCCGAAACATCAATGAAGAGTCATCTCTGTAACCTGGACATGGTCGTCTCGACCTGACGCAGCGAAGACAAGCCTTGGGAACCCACAGTCAGCCTCAACGGTCGGGGATCTGTATCTAGCGCTAGTTCTTACTGGACGAGTCTCATCACACTGCTCGGAGGATTTCGTTAGTGATTACGCGATAAGCATGAGGTGGCGCGGCGCACCTTTTTACGGCGCTTCTTGCATGTATCGCATGCTCTAGAGACGCCAAAATTGACCATTATCAAACGACCGACGATTGCGTCTTGTTGTTTTGCGTAACATTCGAAGACTGCGATCGGCGAGCCTTGTAAGATATGACAAAGCAAATTGCATCGGCTGAAAGCGTCTGCCTGAAGGGCACGTGACTGTCGGTGCGCCTTTGCTCTTCCTCTGCTAGCAATTTACCGTGCTTGACGTTCATGATGGCATTTGTATTGAGGGATGCGAGGGAGAAGATGTACTTTACCATAGTGAAAGTGGTATCACCGCAGAAGGTGGAGTGGTTGCTTCGCCAAGTATGACCGCAAGACCTGCGAAGTTGAATGGAGGCTGAGGCAATTGACACTGCCTGTATGGAGAGTAATAGTATCAAGATCAATATCCAATTCGGGCGAATGGTTTAGT